CAAGCCTGACATTTATGCAGGTGACAGGTTGCTCATGAACGGGTCCAGTGATATTTCAATGGATAGACAATGGACAGAAAGTAACAAGACAGAAACATGACAAACAGAGTGTGTCACCATACACAGAAGAGGTTATTCCCTGTTGGGCCTGATAGGGAGAGTGTGGGCCTGTTAGGTTTAATATGGGAGCATCCTGCCAGGTCAGCAAGACTCCCGAAAACATTTAATTAGAGGGAAAATAAAAACAGTCTCACATTCCCCCTTCACACACCAAACACACACAGACACATTTTGCTGCCTCTTGGCCTGTCAGGACGTTTTGTTTTGTTTAGACACTTTGGCTGCAGGAACCTCTCATTACAGCATGGGCTGCTCATCTCATTACTTTGGCTGGAAAACTTTTTTCTGACAATGAGGAAAGTTTAATAGTGTTTTTTTGGTAAAGGTCAAAGGAATGTTAGTATGAATATGGCTGTCAGTCTGTTGGCACTGAGCTGAACTAGATGATTTGTTTGGTTTGTGCGCTTGGTTGCCAAATGTCTGTTCAAACTCATGTTGCACAGTCTATAATTCTCCAAATTTGTTGTTTTAATTTTAGAAATATTTCAGAGTTTAACACTACATGTGGAGATAAATTGCACATAGACTGACTGGCAATCAGACAAAATGTGCCAGATTTTGTTATTCACTTGCAAAAAAAACAACAAAACAATGATCGATTCTGCAATGTTAAATAACAGAGGAAAAACCTACTTGTTCCTTGTGCTACACATGGTAATGTCCTCCAAATGTTGTTAAAATGGGCTAAAAGGAAGACTTTTCACCCATTTAAATAAAAATAATTTAATCAGTACCAATCTAAATTCCATGTTTGTGAATTCTGATCACAAATGAGAAAATACTGCTGATTTTAAAAGATTCATCCATGTGAACCGAGAGCTCTAGTGTTCATTACTAACCACACTAACTGGCCACTTTATTAGGTACACCTGCACAATTGTATGCACGTCAATATAACACTTCCACCTTAACATCTGTGATTATGAAACTCAAAATGTTTCCGTTTTGGTGAAATTGTCATAAATGTACAAATTCATTCATATGTTTATTATCGAGATCATAGTTAAAGGCGTGTTGTACTGGACTATATTATATTTAGAGGTGTCTTTGTCCTGCCCAGCTACATGTATGACAGGGTCAGAATATTATAATGTAGTACATCCAGTCACTAATCTTGATTTAAATTTGGTTATAACTAATTCTGGTGTGTGTGGTGTGTGCTTATTTCTGCACAGTGATGCAACACAAGAGAAGAAGAAAACAGAAAAAGAGAGGACAGGCCGATGCTTAGCGATGATATCGATATTTGAAAATTAAAGGTTAGCCACATATCACCAAACCTTTTTAACAAACACCCCAACAAACATTTTTCTTAGGATTCTTTAAATTTGGTTAATATTTGTGATACAGATAAGTACTGAGGGGGACATATTAGTTAAACAAAATAAACCTATCAGTGATCTCTGGTGGACAAACTATGCAATGGCAGCACAATTTAAAGTTATCACAAAAACATCTGGCCTTTCTTTTTAGCAGCTTCTTATACTTGCTGTGTAAGAATAGTTTATAAAAGTGCTCATATGAATGATCAGGACAAACCTGAGAATGGAAATGAGTGGAGAAACATAACAAATGCAACGTTTCATATGCTCTGGCTGCCTGAACTTCCACAGAAAACTCTGGACTGATGTGTCAGACAGTGCTTTCTACCATAACTATCAAAATGTCAAGTGAAGAAAACCTTTTGTGGTTTATCTTGATGTTGCTTTCCTCTGATTTAACACCAGCTAATGCTCACTGATGATATCATTTACTGCTCTCTCATTACCCAGTCTTAATGTGTCCTTGAATAAGACACTTGACCCACAAATTCTCCTTTCTACTCCCAGGCGACAGATAACACTGTGCTTGTACTGAGCAGTTCCCAGATGTGATTCTGTGCAACTGTGAGCGGGACACAGTAGAAAAAGATCATTCAACTTAGTGAGATAAATGAAGGTTAAAGATAAATGAAGGCTAAAGAAAGTAAGAGCTTCAACAGCTGGGGCCAGTGGTATCCCAGTGGAGACTGGCCAGTGGTGGAACTCTGCTGCTGGGTAGTGCAGGAATAAGATGTACTCTGGGTTATGAATGAAAGGATGTGGGGAGGTTTTCTAATGTGTGGGCTTGGTATGAGAAGAGGGGCTTCATGCATGCTAAACTTGTCTGAGGGAAACCGTTCACCTGCTCTTTTGTCTTTATGGTAGGACATTTGGGATGCATGTAATGGGACACATGGTGATGGGTGCATATATTCATGTGTAATGGGGAAGGCAGGATGAAGTCTGTCAAATGTGCAGATCGCCTGTTCAAATTGTTTAGCTCACCCCCCTGCAGTGGAATGAAAACCGAATACAACTGAAGCTCAACTATGGTTAACCTCCAAGGTCAGGGCTCTCTAACGGTTATCTGAGGTGGAGGCAATTAATAATGATAGCCTAATTTTTTTATAGAGTCTGGGCACTGTTTAAAAGGGACCTCAACCAAGAAACAACACGAGGCAAAAAAATTCAAGTTCAGCTTTTCCAGTAAGGAGGCGGAATACATTATCATTTAGAGAAGCTCACTGTAATTGGAAAATGTTGATCTCGCCACAAACGAATTAACAATTATACTACAATGAAATGAAACAATGAAATCCTCATGCAGCAGTCACACCTAGCAAAGAAGCAAACATGCCCCATTTTTCTACTATGTTCCTACTTAGGGTGGCTGTGGCTCATGAGGTAGGGCAGTCGTCTCCTGACCAGCAAGTTGGTGGTTCGACTCCCGGTCTCCCCGCATGCCTAAGTGTCCCTGAGCAAGACACTGAACCCCGAATTGCTCCCGGTGGCTTGACTCGGTGTGTGAATGTGTGTGTGAATGGGTGAATGGTGTATAATCTCCTGTAAAGCTGTAAAGCGCTTTAAACATACTGTGAGAAAGCGCTATATATAAAATACAGTCCATTTACTTAAAATAAATCTGTTTTTATGTTGCAATGCAACACTGCAACTCATGAACTGACAAAGAAGCTGACGAAATGAGTGTGAGGTAAAAATAAAACGAATATAACATGAAGCAAACAGAGGGCTGCTGCAGGAGTGTGACAGGTAAATAAATAGGAAACAAACTGTTCCACTAGGATTAGATGATGTTACTCTCAAAAGATCTCACTGTCATTAATTTCACAGTACCTTCATCTGGACTGACTGTAGAACACCAGCTAAGAGAAAGCCCTTTGTTATACTGGTGCTTGCATGGAGGAATTTGGTTTTACACTCTATTCCTTTGTGATTCCCTATTTTCATGTGTGATGTCAGACATGCTGCTCACTCGCACAACTAAGCCTGAAACATTTCACCAAAGAGAAAATGGCAGCTTTGGGTATAACCAAGACACTTTACTCCAAAAACTATGGAGGGGAGCAGTCTTTATAAAAAGTATAAATTGATGAAGGGAAGCTGCAACACATTCACCGGGCCAAAATAATGTGAGGCCAATAGAATGAAAGAAGAAAACTGAATTAGGCATTTTAAACTCTGGTGAAGATGGATCTGTCACTTACAGTCAGGAATAGCTGCTACTACAAAATATCACTTCTGCTACTACTGTTAGTGAAATCATACCTTGATGTGACATTTTGAATAAAGAGACTCAGACAAACTTGTAACTATGACAACCATGACTGCAGCCAGATGCCCCCTCCAATACTATTAATACCATGCCCGCCAAATGACTGTGGTGAGGTCAGTGTGGTACACAGCCTGCTGTTCCAGTCCCACATACCTACTGACATACAGTGTGTATGCTTGAACACATATTATGATTACCTTAAATCTGCAGGGTGTCAGTCTAACAGCAGTGTTGGTGTTTGGTACAGAATAACTACAATAACTACAGACGTCCTTAAGATCTGTCAATCTGATCGGCGTGTTTGGGTAAATACATTGTCCTTGGGCAGATGACAAAACAAGTCAGGTACACTCAGCCACTAAATATCCAAAAAGCCTCAGTGGAAAACTCACCAACTATATCGCTCACCAAGAATTAAGTCACATTCACAGTCTGAACTATTTATTGTAAAATTCAATAACTCATGAAGTTAGACAAAAACATTCACGAAAACACAAATAACCCTGAAAATCTTAAACAAAAAAAGATTCAAGTGACTAAAAGGTATTTTTGGCTCCAAGTGAAAGGAGTCATTATAACTGATTTGCTGTGGCTTGTATATTTTAAATAAAACCAAAACCAGAAATGATATACAACTTGAAGAAAGTGAAGCTTTGAGTAGAAATAGCAGGTTGACTGTTTAGCCTCATCCCTTGATGTATAAATTGGTGAAGTGCCAGAAAAACAAACAAGAAAGATGCTCAAGATTTGCTTTAATGATAAAATATAGCTGGAGACTAAATTAACCTTATGAGTGAGGTTGCCTGTCTCTAAGTGTCAGCTGTGATAAACTGGTGACCTGTCCGGGGTCGCCCAAAGTCAGCTGGGATTAGTTCCCCCACCCTCTTCTGGATAAGCAGTATAGATAATGGATGGATGGATTATTGGCCATGTATAAGTGGGTAGACTTAAAACACTTCAGATTGTGCGTATGTGCTAAGAGTTTCCTTTAAATGAATTACTACTGTAAAAAACAGCCTGGTAGACAGTGCTACTCATTTATTTTAAGAAAACTCATTAATGAGGAGGAGATGTGACAGGCTTTGCTATTAGGAGTTTTTACTGCAAACACACATCAAAGGTCAGTACAGAAAATAATGGGAAAGCAGAAACAGAGAAATAAAAAAAAAAAAAACTACCACAAGGATGAAAAGAATGATGCTGTGATAATTATTGTTAAATATAACTAAGTGAAAGAAGCAGGAGAAAACATAAGCAGATATAATTTACATGCTGGTGCACCCTACCTTGACCTCAATGAAGTCTGGCTGGCCCAATGCAATGAGCTCCGAGTAGGCCTGTATCTCCTCCACATTCCAGGCCTTCACCAGCGTCAGTCTGTACACGGTCCTCTGTCTCTGGAGGGACAGACAGGGGTTGGGGATTGATGGGAGAGGTCAAACACTGAGCGTAAACATGGTATTGTTGTAATAAGAGTGTGTTGCATATTTAATGTATTATAGATCTTTTTCCTGTATTCCTCCTCTTAAAACAAACATTCACTAAAGACATTTTGATTTATTACACCAAGGAAACACAAAGAACCTTTTGCAAGTTGTGTTCAAAAGCTTGGTATGACTCAGACTCAACAGACTCTGAGGCAGCAACACACCTGTGTGACACTTTTATATAAACTGAGAAAATGTAAAGTTCCACTTTAATAAAAAGCTTCTTCTTTAAAACTGAATTTACACCGTCGTGAACTAGAAACATGTTAGGACAATGAATGTAAGAAGGAATGACAAAAACTTTATAAAAATCTACAGTATAACACATACCTGATTGAAACTCATACTATACTGAGCTAGTTAAAATGTACATACACATATGTTGCTTTCCTTCAACAAACATTCTAAAATCACTTGTTGCTGCCTCAGAGAACTTTGCTCACTATGCCTATCACATCATGGTAATCATTTATCTCAAATTTATGCACTCATTCTCTTGCTTGTCAACAACATCTCTCCTCCATAGGCAACACATTAGTGCACAGTTGCCGTGTCATTTTTCTGTCTGGATGTTAACAGAGCAGTTATGGGAAGGTTTGCATGCTCACTAATGCTCAGACAACTGCATATAGTAGGGATTCCTTAAGCTGATCAGAATCAGGGCCAAACAAAGCTTCTGTAATGGAACATCATCTACTATGCAACACCTTTTCCTATTCCAGTTATTCCATTATCAGTATTTTGTTCTCTCTAGGTGCATCAGCAGTCAAAACTGTCCCTTTGTGAATCCACCAAACACTGGGACTCCACAGCATTGTAAATCAGTCGGGAGGGAACTGTGGACTACACAACATTAACAGAGCAACCAGTAGCTTCAGGTGATGAGCAAGCTATGGCAACAAAACCGCATTAAATTTGAATGTTCATAACTGAATTTGAACTTGAAGATTTTTGTCATTCTCAGGTTGAACAGATGCTATTCTATCCTTGCAACACAAACAGAGAACACTAGGCAACATTGTAATTTTAAGCAGCTGTTCATAGGTTTACATACTTTTATGTAGGTCTATAAATAAAAATGCCATAAGAGTGCAGTACATATTGGAGGATACGTTTTACATGTATATACAGATCTGAACTGAGATTAAGGCCAAGAAAACCTGACTTAGACACCACTCCTTTAACACGAGCCCAATGTCCTTTCCCTGGGTAAATAAAGGTATGGAAAAGAGCCCGGCTCATAGTTCAGTGCTGTATATTCAGGCTATTGTTTCAGCTATAAAGCTGGACAAAGAGATATTGAGAAAGAAAGACAAGTAGAGGAGATGAAAGACGGGGAATGATGAGGGCAGGGGACATGAGAAATGGATAATAGAAAGAAACAAGTAATGACAATGGTAAAATAGAATGCACTTTTCCCCTCACTGCCGCTCACAGTGGAAGGTTATCTATAACACTAGGTCCTTTCAGCCCAGTGGGGAATGGGATAATTGGCCAGTGGAAGCAGGGAGGCGAGGCATTTCATGCTGCCTCTATTCTAAATCTGACACTGAGGGACAACTCAATCAGTCCTCCAGTGTGCTGGCAGGGAGGCCAGGTGGAGCAGAAGAGAGCTGTCAACCCAAGAACAGAGAGGGGTAAACGCTTAGGAAGAGAAGAGATAGAGCCTACCATGAAATGAAGACTCAGGAATATTGAGCTGTGACAGAAAGACGGGGATGATGGAAGCAGAGTGTGTTTATTTTTGGAAACCGGTCAACTTGCACACACATAAACCAGACTGTCACAGTCAGGTGTACACATACAAGTACACAAGTACTGTACATATACAGTACTTGGCTGATCAGTGTAAGCAAACAGTTACCTTTATTGTAATAACATTTCATTCTACAATGTTCCTGTTAATTCATCCACCCCTGCAAAAACCTCACACTGATATTTACTCACTGGCATGTGCAGTGAAGACCGTGGTCAAGATGCAATGATCTGTCACCAGTGATTTGCCCAGAGCTTTGCAGTCACCACTACCTCAGGCTGATTAGTAATGAATTTGCCCATTGTTTGCTAAAGCAGTAAACAATAGGAAGTCAGTCCATTACAGATGGGTGAAATAAAGGCTCCCCCCAAGAGACTTCACGGCCCACATCTTTCAAGGTCGTTTAACAGGGCAGCCAAGCAACATTTTAAATTCACTTTGGCTTTTTAGGAAACACACCAACAGAGAAAATCAATTTATCCTGTACAGGCAGCCCAGTGGCCAGATGCAGGTTGTGATAATGGACTTTCCCTCTTCTCATGAATGATGAAAAGGTCTACAAGGTCATTGAATGTTCTTTTTTTTTTAAAACTGCTGCAGAGGTGTCTGTAGAAACATCACACACTTAATAGAAATGTACCCCTCTGAATGTCATTCTTACAGTCGAGGCAGTGGCATTTTCAACTCTCTCTCTCATTTTCGATACCACTTAGTCCTGAACGGGGTCACAGGCATTTTCAACTCAGATGAAGCAAAGTTTGTAGAATTAATTAAAAAAAAACTCTTTTGCACTTGAGTAAAGTGGGAAAGGCTTGAAATGTTCTGTCATTTATTGGAATCTTGCTGATGACAATTTGTGTTTCTGACAGCTTTCATCAGCTGCTCTGATTCACCCAAAACAAAAAAAGATGAGCCTGTATATAAGAATCGGGCTGTGGCTCAGGAGGTAGAGTGGTCATTCCCCAACCAGAAGGCCGTTGGTTTGAATCCCATTCTACCCAGTCCAAGTGTCCCTGGTCAAAACACTGAACCATGGACACTGAAATGGCTACCGATGGCCAGAGCAGCTGCCTCACAGGGATTGGGATGCCATCGTCTCGTTTGTGTGTGTGTGTGTGTGTGTGTGTGTGTGTGTGCTGCAGATGGCTGCCTCATTTCTGTACTGAAGACAAATTTCTTGTGATTAACAAACCTGGCCAATAAAAGTGATTATCATTATCAACAATATGTCAGTGAGTTGGAGATGAGATTATTTTGTTAAAAATCACCACAACAGCATATTTTTATTCACAGTTTGCCAAATGAACTTGTGTTGTCAAGGTCTTTAGTGAGACAGAACAGACTAAAAATGGATACTACAAAGGTTTAATATATTAATAAATCACCCAATATCAATATACACTGAGGATTAGGTCTGGGGAGGCAGAGACAAATGAAACAATTACATGGGGTGATTCAACTCACAAATACACAATTCAGAATTTTATGTTTTAATCAGAAGAACTAAGAGTAATTCATACAGTATCTTCAATATCTTTGCCTGCTTATCAACAACTACAGTATATACAACAAAGCCAGTACGTGGTGAAAGCCTGAGCATTTCTCAGAGAGCTCAGAGACCAAGACAAAAAAGGTGAGAAGCCAAAAGGTCACTAACACTGCACCACAAATCCTCTTTCACTGCAATAGGCATCAAGGAAATTAAAATAAGAAAATTGCTATCCGCTTCACAATAAATGTCACCTTGATGTTGAGCTAACATAAGATACCCAGACTTTACATATCCTCTCATGATACAGCATGATCAACAGTGAGCACTCCAGGTAAATAGAAAAGGGAGCGTCAAACCTTGCAGCATATGCATTCCTTTCATTCCTCTCATTTTATGACACATGTCAGGGGAAATTGTGAGGAGTGGCATCCACTGATGGAACAAATCTATTTTTACTGGATCAGTTTTCTAGAATTTTGAAGCCTTTGGATCAATACATTATAAGGATTTCCCTTTACAGATTATACAGAGATAATAGTGATGAGAAAATACTTTTAAAATTATAAAATTACCTTTAAAACCATAAAATTAATGCAAATAATGCAGTGCAGCAACATTACTTCTATTCTGAGTTGAAAATATTGCAAATATTACTACAATTTGTGTACATTTGTGTACTTGTGATGCAGAATTACTAAGAAGAGAACTCAACATACTTGAATTTTAAATAAATAAGCTATTCAGACCTGTAAAAATACAATAGTAAGTGCTTTACAGGGACTAAAACAACCATAGAATTCTTAGTGATGTTGTTACTTTAAACTGTGCACACTGTAAAAGTGGCAGAACGTTCCATTGTGAAAACAGCTACTGTAAACTGATAAAGTGCAAATTCTCATCACAGAAGTGACAAAAAAAAAAAACACACTGATTTTTCTCAGCAACTGTAAATGTCAAGTCCTGGTTTTTGCATGTTTAGTAAAGACAAGCACAGCTGAAACAAATGCATGCTGGTTGTTCCCACTTGTAATGTGAATTGGAACAATTCTGAGAGTTTGAAGGAGCCTGAGAATTTAAGCACAGACACACCAAACTAAATGTATGAACGACATATTTCCAATTTAAAATCCAGGGTGCTGCACAAAACATTTTATGATTCATGTTATTATAAACACCTCCTGGTAATACAATATTTATACAGCAGTTATGGTGAAGCCAATCACAAGCTTGAAGAAATCAAATGAGCAATTTAACTTGTGGAGGATGAGTGTATTATACCTTAATTCATAGTAGCATACAGTTTAGCCGCTTGTTCACAGCCTTACTCTAACTTCCTGCTGGAAACCAGACTCAGCGACTAGCTTACCTTCTCTCCGAGGGCCCTCAGGCTATCCAGGAAGCGTGACCAGAAGTCCTGAAACAGTGGCCGGTCAATCTTCTTCAAACTGTCTTTGGTGCTAGCGTCCACGCTCACATACAACTGGGTGACTGGCACCAGGCTCCTGCACATTGCAGAAAATATAAGGAGAAGTGAAGATGAGAATGATCCAGATTGAAAGAGAAGAAAACATGTTTTATGTCCATCTCCCTCAGTACCTACAGCTTTTACATACAAAATGCAAGTGCATGTTTGTTAATTCAATAACAGATATGCAACGACATGAAGACAGACACTATGTACTAAAACCAATGGACTCATTGCATAGGCAAATAAAGGAAACAGAACCATAATACTGCACCAGACTCACCGCTCAGTGAGTGAGATACCTTTTCAAGTGTCTTTAGAGATTAAAAAATATGTTCAAGATGAGGCACCTTTGTAAAGATGCCAAAAATAATAAATTAGTCCAATGAGCAACGAGCAGCACAAAGCCTCTGAATACAAATTCAAAAGTTCCCCTAAACACAGTACTGAAATAGAAACTCAAGGACTCACTTTCATCCTGTATATAGTACATAAGACATATCAGATAAATCCGTTTTATGTGCATGGCTGCTAGAAAAAAGTGACATTCTAGATATGAGGTAAAAAAAAAACAAAAAAAAAAACATATCCTCCGTCTACGCTGAAGAAACTGGTAACACTACATCCTAATTTTTGAACCTTTATATTTATGTGGAGCACATCACACTTCTTTCCAAATAGATGCATTTCCACACTTTTTCTGTATCAAATACATTACTCAAGTGGCTAAAAAACATACTATATAGAATGACTCTACACTGAGGGGCCAAATTCATCTCTAAGCACAAAGTAACCTTTGTGTAAACTAACAATGAATAATACAGTAGATGCTTGCTTTAACATTCTGTCTTGTGGCAAATTACTATAATACTTCACACTATACTTGCTGCTCATTGTTTTGTTTTGTTTTTTTAAAAGGGATGTCAGACAGCTCTATAACTGTGTTGACAGGGTGCTGTGTAGAAACCGTTGTGCTTGAAATAACGATAATGAGGTCACTTCAGTTTCCTCCTCAGACAAAATTTTTCATGCTGATGCTCACAACACCTCCTGCATTTAAAGTACAAAAGCAAAGAAAAGTACGCGTTTGTGAATCAAGGAGCTGCTGTTCTACAGCCATCTTAATGAATTTTTCATATGGTTACAGCAAGTGCAAAGGATACGTGCCTCTTGGAACTTTACCTGTGCTTTAAACTCCTCTGTCAATAAAACATACATGTATAAAGTGGAGACCTGAACACTTATGGAAATGCAGCATTTCAGGGAAGTCACAATGAAAACTGTTAGAGAGCAGAAAAATGGGCGTAGCATCTGTTTGAGATGAACTTTTTACAGAAGTTGGGATATTTCACAGTTACTTTAGGTAGGTATTGTTACTGTCTTTTTATTCCCATCGAGATGCGTTTCCCCTGTTCAAACCCCCGCCTCAGTGGTTGGGTTTAGGATAATGTTAGGATTCAGGTTAGGGGAAACTGATTTTAACACAACACCAGCAACAGGAAGTGTGCATGTTCATGAACTATCCTCATTTTCAGGAGGAGGCTTTTGGGTTTACTATATATATATATATATATATATATATGAAGTGTAGTTTGCTTGTGTTTGTCGAAGCACTGAAAGTACTGCTTTGTTTCTTTTCTCTCCATTCTCCAAGGCATTAAAAAGAAAGGCCTGTGAAGGCAGGGAATAAAAATATACTACAGAAACATAATAAGCCAAAGAAACCGTGACACCCACACACAAGGAGTGTGCATCTCTTTTGCTCCTACCTGATTTCATCTGGGAACTGTGCATTGGTGACCAGGAAACTGGAGATGTGGTGGGAGTGGAGGAGGCGGATGAAGGCGTTGATTTCAGGGTACATGATTGGCTCACCCACCAGAGAAAGGGCACAGTGCTTGACTGTCAGGCCTTCCTCAAACCGCTCAGGCTTCACTCCAGGAACACCTGGTGAGAGAGGGGTCTAAAGTCAGTGTCTCCCAACAATAATATGAGAGGCAGAAATCAAAGCAGTGTCAATGTGAAGATAAATTATTGTTGGAAATAAGTGCATGAGCTCAGGCGCTGAAGTGCGGTCACACAGAGAGACGACTGGCGCTCACAAAACATGAGAGGAAGTAAAATTCTGAGCTTTAGGTGCTGGGCTCAGAGCCTGCTCCCTCCCTTCTTTTTTCCACTTGGTAGATCCACTAGCAGGGAAAACAGTGTGTCGTAAAAACACACTCAGCACATGTTCAATGGGGAAGAGTAGGTAGCAGGACAAAAGTCCCTGAGTATGAGGGATTAGTTTTATTAATTGGCTTCTGCTGCCAAGCTTGAGGGATTACTAAATAACAAAGGAAATTCATTAACAGTAGCAGTTAAACTGACAACTAAGAAACATTAAACCCTGGTTCAACCCTCAGCCATAAGCATCAAATGTTTCCTGAATCAATAAAATTACTTTCTCCCAATTATAGTTATACCAAAAGAAATTGATTGTTAAATTGAGAAAATGTCACACACAAACAAATTTACATACATCTTTTACATAAATTACTATAAATACACAGGACTGAAAAAGAGCAGGAGAGACAATGTAAAGCCTTATTTGAATATGTATATACATGTGTGGGCAGGTAGGTAGGATCAAGTAAAGTAACAAATGCAGCAGTATCATAAAAACCTTCTTTCTGCTGACAGAAAGGAGATGAAACAAACAGTAAAAGCTTAAGGAAAACATTTCATACACTGTAATGGGGACTTAATGTGATATTGCTGTGGCTACACTAATTAATTTGAGAACATGCAGTGAATCTTAATACAACACTGGACTGTTGCCTTTATATGCTTCATTTGAAAATGTGTGAATTAAAGATAAGCCTGCAAATTTTTCTATGACTGAACAACAGACGGTGACTATTACTGTGCTCCCTTTCAAGAACAAACAGCTGAAAAGACATCAAGAAGCAAACTGTCCCTCAGGAGGACCCCTACTCTGGAGCGACTGTGGTTCAGTGGGTAGAGCGGTCGTCTCCCAACCAGAGGGTTGGAGATTTGAATCACGGTGCCTGCAGTCCACATGTCGAAGTGTCCTTGGGCAAGCTGCCCCCGATGGTTAGAGTTGGCACCACAGCTAGCTGCCTCGGTTCTGTGCTGGAGACCAATTCCTTTTGTGTGTGTGTGTGTGTGTGTGTGCGTGCGTGTGTGTGTGTGTAACATACTTGGCCAAATAAAGGTGATTATCCTTACTTAGCTCTGTTCATAAAAGCCAGCTGAGGACAATGATGCATGCGAGTTAATACAAGCATCTGAAACCTCTAATATATATATATATCTTACATTCTTAGTAATGTGAAATTCTAACAGATGTACTTATTGTACTTTCTTCAGGTCCTTTGATTTTCAGACTTCTCCTTGTTCAGTTTGCCTATTCTGTGAGATTTGGGCAACATACTCATGAGACTGTTTGGTGTTTAACACAGTCTATTCACTTGTAAAGTTAAAGAAGTATACAGGTACCTGAATGATAGGGTGCAATATAAGTGCTATGTTGCTGTAGCAAACAGAATCACAGAACAAAATATTTAATTCATGTGCTGACTCAGAACATCAAGCTTCTTCCTGAAATGTACTGCACAGTGACAAAGTAGGCTCGTACAAAGTTTATCATAATGCCTAAAGCACACACACTTGCAGGAAATTCAAAGTATCAAATGCACAATACACCATAAAATGAGCAAACAGATAAAACAAGACTGGACAAAAAGTGCATTCTAGCACCTAAAACCAGATTTAGGTGGTTTTACCAGCTCTTCAACAACCAAAGAAACACATACTGTAAAACAGTTCATCTCTCCTTAACCAGTGTTCTGCTTGTTTGTAGTTTAAAATGATCCAACAGTGTTATATCTGCTACCAAATAAAATAAATTCACATCAATAAATTTCATTTCAAGGTGCCTTTCAAGTTAACAATCGTGACAGACAAAGAGGAGAGCTTGACAAACAACTTACAATAAGTAACAGTTGGCAAGCAATAAATGCAGCCTTATACATTTAAATGTTGACTAATAACATTTCCTTATGAGCCGCTACTGTACATGACATTTAAAACAGCTTTTTGAGGAGACCTTTTTGGCAGCAGATCATCAGGGCAGTGAGAGCAGAAGCCACCCTGCTTATTCACACACAGGCTTTTCAGAGGCATTGTCTGGATAATTAATTCAGACATAGTGACATGCATCACTGTTAATGGTAAATGGAGCTGAAGGCTGCCTAATGGAATTTCATAATGGAAATGGAAAGAAAATTATGGATGATAATGACAATACAGGCTTGCACTTCCAGCATGTTTCTAATCAGAATTAGAGTTTTCTTTTGAAAATGTACTTTTCTTTATTTTCTCACACAATGAATGTTACTGCAGTTCTTTAGTGACAAATGTGTTTTTTACTGAATATAAACAAAACAAAACAGATACTGTCAACATATGCTTACAGAATGTCCTATTGCTCCACTGTAATCGCATCAGGAAATTACATTTCCAAAGAATTATGAATTACTCACAATGATATTAGCTATAAAGCAGTGCTTTGAAAAATACGCCTCAAAAGCTTTGAGCATTCTGCACCTATATCATTTCCTGAGTACAACGGCTTTGCTGTTTAATAAAGAGATCAGTAGTGGCTGTCAGGTTAGAGAGGCAGCCATCTGACTGAGGTCGCAGGATCAAGCCAGGCCTTATGAATACTGTGGCTGGAAGAGCAGTCATACATTTCAGTCTTTGAGATCAATGAATATAGTAAATGTTATTTAATGTAAAATATAAAGGTGTAGACTCACTGTGAAAGTGTAAATGTAGAATACAGTGCCAGCCAGCACAGACTATGGACCCTAAAGGAAACTTCCTGTACTGGCTTTTTGACTTCCATCCATCCATCCATTTTCTTCCGCTTATCCGGGGCCGGGTCGCGGGGGCAGCAGTCTAAGCAAAGATGCCCAGACCTCCCTCTCTCCAGACACTTCCTCCAGCTCCTCCGGGGGAATGCCGAGGCGTTCCCAGGCCAGCCAAGAGACATAGTCCCTCCAGCGTGTCCTGGGTCTTCCCTGGGGCCTCCTCTCAGTGGGACATGCCTGAAACACCTCCCTAGGAAGGCGCCCAGGAGGCATCCGAAACAGATGCCCGAGCCACCTCAGCTGGTTCCTCTCAATGTGGAGGAGCAGCGGTTCTACACTGAGCTCCTCCCAGGTGACTGAGCTCCTCACCCTATCACTAAGGGTGCGCCTGGCCACCCTGCGGAGAAAGCTCATTTCAGCCGCCTATATCCGGGATCTTGCCCTTTCGGTCATGACCCAAAGTTCATGACCATAGGTGAG